AATTCAATCAAACCTGCATGGCCCAAATCACAACCACTTCTCCATTAATTAAGGTAATTAGATCAATATAATTAGGGGCACGTACACAAATGCGTAGCTATAATTAAATCAGATTAACCCTCTCACTTACAAATCATGTCTTCATCACCTGCTGCTGAAAAAGATGAAACTCTGGATCTAAGCTGTCTCCCAATTAGATTGATTCGAGATCAGCAGCTGGGTCCAATACCAATTCCAATTTAAAAAAAAGTACAAATTGAAACCAATGCATGCATGGGAGGGAGATGTGGGGGCCACTTGTTGTTGGAGCTAAGCTAAGAACTTATTGTGGGTCCAATTCCATTAGACCAAAGCACTTCAAGTCCTGTATTCGAGTCGCTTGTATAAAAAAAAAACTTATTGTGGCTTTTGAATTTTGTTGGCAACTTGTACATTTGATGATTTAGTCAATTGGATTGATGCTAATTTTGATTGGAAAATAACTCAGGCCAATGAAAGATAGATACGCATGAATATATAACAAGGTGAAGGTTAATTTTAAGTCTCAAAGCCACATTCATGTTAGAGAGAGGCAGAAAAGGGAAAAAGCCACTTAAAATAATTTAATAAAATTACGAGGTTTAGCTAGACTGGTTTAAGTTTGGAGTTGGGCTCAAAGGCCTCTGACATGTCTCCCTCTGCCAGGGTATCACGCTGTTTTTAGTATAAGCTTGTTTTTGAGGGGAAAAGGGAGGGAGAAGTATTATATTGGGTTGCCTCAAGATTGTTTAATTGCTATATGAATTGAACTTGGATGCACTTTGGGGGGAAGTTTGGCTCACTTTTCTACTGTGGAGCCACCCCACTGTGCACCTTTGTCTAAATGATTAAATAAAAATAAACGCAATTAAGTGGTAAGCTTAGATTAACATGTGTTGAAAAACAAAGCTTAGTGGCATAAAAAGCTAAAGGTCTTGCAACAAACATATGGAAGAGGAAATCTAAAGCTCTTGCTCAGTGGCTTAAAAAAAGCTAAACCAGTCGGTGGTAAATGGATCAAATGATTCCATCTCGTGTTTACATGATTGCTTTAGGGTACGTTGTCCCTGGCTTTGAAAGGCGTCGAGTTTTGAGTTTGTGAACCCCAAAAGCATCAAAATGCATGGTTACCTTCTAGATTCCAACCCTAATTCACACACTAATTAATTAAAATTTAATGGTACTATTCTCCTGTTTAGAATTCCATTTTATATATAAGTATCTTTTTATTTATTTATTTTTAAATACAAGTAAATATTGGCAAGAAGAAAAAAATGGAACACATGAACAAATTGGGACCTTCTTCTTAAGAAAGGAATGAAAAGTATATAAAGCATTACTGCTCAAGGCCGAAAGTGTAGTGCTTTAGTTTGGGCAAACCCAAAAAGGCTTTATAACTTTTATTCTATTTATTTTGTTTATTAGTTCCTCATCCCGATCAAGAATAAGCCGAGGATGAACTTTTTACCCGCCATAATGTTATATGGATATGATTAATTAATGTTATCGTTTCATTTGTTTTCTTTCTAAGTTCCAAAAAAATAAGGGCATGTTTAGTATCTTACTTGGATCTAATTTTATAAACTCAAAAAACAAATTTTAAGTCCAAAACCACAAAAATCCGTATGGTAGGCTTATTTTTAAAAACTCAAAAACCCATTATTGAAAACAAAAAAAAGTGAGATTTTATAGCTCTCTCTCTCTCTTTCTCTCTCTCTCTCTTCCTCCTCCTCCCTCTCCCGTCTCCTTCTCTCTCCTCCCTGTCTCCTTTTCTTTTATCAATTTCAAATTGGGAATCTAGGGTTTTTGATTTTTTGATTTTAATTTCAATTTCTTTAGATCTTAAAAATAGTTTGGAGTTCAATACCAAACAAGTTTTTAGATCTTAAAAAACACTATTTGAAAACTCATGTTTTTTAAAAAAATCATAGTTTTTTAATTTACTTTTTTGAATAGAATACCAAACATGACCTACTAGTCTACTTTCGACTTTGTACATTTATAGCAAATAAAATATTGTCACGTCAGTTAAGATTCAAAATTGATGTAATTAGTAGGTATCTCTAGCATTTTCCTTGTTATGATAGTCGTGTTAATTATTTTGATTTTCTTTTCCATTTTCATTGAATTTGCTAAACACATTGTTATCATTCTTTCATTCCTTTTAAAAATAAAATAAATTGGTGAAAACGAAAGAAGAGACAAATAGATTATTCAGTCGCACGCTTTAACTTTACGTCAATGACTGCGTCCCACAATGTAATATCCCATGCATCATCAAAAACCCCTTTATTATTCACTCCAAGTCTGACATTAATAAGGTTGAGAAATGACAAACACAAAAACCTACAATATATTATGTGCGCTTTCAGACATAATAACATGATTTCATTGTCAGTTACCAAGTCATGTGGTGTCACTTAGTTCTCATGTCTCGTTTGGTGACTGGACTAGACTGAATATTTCAATTAAATTGAATTTATATTATGGTCGATGTTAGATGAATTACTTATAAATACTAAAATTGGACTTGTTAAATTGGACAAAATTTCAACACGTCATGTTTTATAATTTTTTTCTAGAGGGGTGGAACTCGTAAGAACAGACTTGAAACTTTAATTCCAATCCAGTTTATAAATACTCTAGTCTAATCCTCTTGCAATTTCATCATATTTCAACTTTTCTCTCAACTCTTCTCTCTGCTGTTTCTCTCTCTAAATCTCTTCACCATCTTCATCTTTGTTATCAAAACCAAGAGAGATGGCATTGAACTTGACCCAGGATGAGGAAGATAAGTACGTGGGGGGTAATAAAGAGCCAAAGGAGCTGAAGCCATCTCTAGAAATCATAGCCCATGAGAACAAGACTAAGAGGGAGGAGGAGCCATGGTTCAAACCAAAACCAGGGAGTGTAATTCCGGCAAAGAGGAGGTTAGTAAAGAGCATGATGCTTGATCAGATACTCCATGTTTGTCCTTCCATGGCTTCTGAATCTGGAGTCTCTGAAACCCAGGACAAGCCTAAAACATCCAACGCCAAGAAGAGTAACCACGTTTACCCAAATTAATTAATTAACCTGGCTATGGCCATGCATCGCTAGGCATGCAAATGTTTTCGTTTATTTAATTTCTTTGTGTGCAGTGATGTGTGATGTAGTTTCTTGGCTTTAATTAATATAATGGTGTGGTTTCTTTCTCTGCTTAATAGTTAAGTTTTGCCTAATAAAGCATAGCGTTTTGAAGTATTTGTCTTGAAACAAAAAAGCAACAAAAAGCAATAACGAAATCTCAATGCATGGAAGGGAAGGGAGGCGTCGGCCACTTGCTTAATTACAATTTCTTCAAAAGATTGATAGTTTTCACTAGGGGTGGGCACGGTACGGGATGACACGGGATGGAGGTCATCCTGGTGTCAATCCCGAATAGGAGAATCGGGACGGTATGACACGGGATGGGGGATTTTCAAAAACACGTTCAAACCATATCAGCCCCAACCGGGACCAGTATGGTTCGGTATTAAAACTGATACCGTTCACCTTAGGCTAAAATTTGAATTTTTTTTCTTCAGTTTTTGCAGCTGCCAAATAACTTCAGTTTTGGCAATAGCTGCCAAATCAATCAAATACACAATGTTTTCATCATACTAAAAAGTAAAAACCTATTCAAACTTCAAGTTCAAGATCAAGCCTAACAAACAAAACTTCAATTTCAATCAATACCATTCCAAATTGCCAAGCTCCAGATGCACATGACAGGCAGGCAGAGAGAGAAGAAGCAAGTTTGATGTCAAACAAAGAGAGATGGTTATTAGGGTTCGATTCGACTTCGACACTGAGATGTTTGGTTATTAGGGTTCCATTGTGAGAGAGAGAGAGAGAGAGAGAGAGAGAGAGAGAGAGAGAGAGAGAGAGAGGAGGAGAAGAAGAAGAGGAGATTGAGATTTGAGATGGATCGATCGATGGTGAAGGGAAGGGAAGGAGAGAGGAAAAAAGCTTCTGGATTTGAAAAATCTTTCCTAAGTTTCGTTCGTTCGTGTGAGAGATATCTGAAATTTTGGAAATAATATTTTTATATTTATTATTCAATATTAATTAGTTACTGTACGGTACGATATGGCATCAAACGAGATCACAAATCTGATACCGGTGTCGTGCCAAACAGTAACGGGATGACACTGTTTCATCCCGTTTAAGCATCAACACCAAACGGTTTGGCACGAGTTTGACACGGAATGGCACGGTTTTGGGACGGTATCGGTATTCCAGTGTTGATGCTCACCCCTAGTTTTCACTTTTCAGTTTCTAAATTAATTAATTTTTTGGGGAATTTGCGTAAATACCACCTAAACTTTTGAGTATGTGCGCGATTACCACCTAAACTTTCAATTTTGACCTCAACTTTGTAAAGTGTAGCAATTTGCCTCCTACGTGTAACTCCGTTAAAATTTCCATTAAATAAAGTCACACGTTGAACATGTGATATTTTTTAAAAGTGATTTTCATCAAAAAAAAAAAAAAATCAATTTACCTCCTACGTGTACCTCCGTTAAAATTTCCATTAAATAAAGTCACACGTTGAGCATATGATATTTTTTAAAAGTGATTTTTATCAATTCATTAACTTTTTTTTTTTGCCAAATCAATTTATTATAATTAAAAACTTACAATGTTTTAAAACTAACATAATTAAAAAGAAAAAAAAAATCAACCTAATTATCCCACAAGCTTCCCTTCCCCCTTCTCCTTCACGACAGCCCCCTTCCTAACCAAAAGGCCACAGCCCACAACAATCCATCCCTCCTATCCCACCCTCGCCCTAAAACTCCTCTCTCTCTCTCTCTCTCTCTCTCTCTCTCTCTCTCTCTCTCTGCACAAACAATGGGCCAAGCTCTGCAAATCATTAGCAAATTCAGCCATAACTGGTTTGCGATAGCTGCTTGTGAGGCTGAGAGAGAAAGTGAGAGACTCACTGGGTGAAAGCTAAAATGGCGGTTCCAGCTCTCAATTAGTCTGCGTAAAGTAATCAAATTGGAGAAAGATATAGATGGCTGGCTCAGTTATGTTCCAGAGCCTATGCTGCATAATCCCACACTCTCCAAGATGTTACAAGAATCAAACCCTGGCTTTCACCCACTCTCAATTCTTCTCTTCTAAGTCATTTTTAAGGTTAAAGAAGCAGTCTTTGGTCTCAGCTCTTCAAATTAATAAGAGGCAGAGGACTCGGAGGTATCGCTCTGTTCCTGTTGTGTTCGCTGCACAGTCCAATTTCTTAAAAGGTTAGCTATCTGCAATTCCTGCCTTTCTTCTTCTTCTTCTTCTTCTTCTGTTTAGTATTTATGATCACTGAACATAGTTTTTTAGTGGGTTTGTCGAATTTGCTATTTTCTGAATCGTGTTTTTATATTTTTGGTTTTTGGATTTTGATAAAAGGTATTTTTGCAACTGAATAGCATTGTATTGGTGAATATCCGTCGAAAGCATGTTAATTTCTGTAAATTCTGTTAGATTATGGCAATTTTTAACGTTAAATTGTCGAGTGTTCGAAAAATCCGCCTAGGCGGCGCTAGGCGGTGCTAGGCGGCCACCTAGGCGGCTAGGCGGGAGTTAGGCGGCCTGGGCGGGTCGGGTCCTTTTAAATTTTTCTTTCCTGACTTTAACGTTTGGCTAATCCTGAGATTAACAATGTTGGGTTCAACTTTAATGGAAATGATTTTGTTATGCAGGCTCCTGACCAGCCAAAAAATTTTGGGTTCAATTTCAATGGAGCTGAGCCTGTTTTGCAGGCTCCTCCAGACCATTTTAATTTCTGTCGAAAGCATGTTAATTCTGTGAGATTATGACAATTTTTAACGTTAAATTTTCCAGTGTTCGAAAAATCCGCCTAGGCGGTGCTAGGCAGCCACCTAGGCGGCTAGGCGGGAGTTAGCGGCCTGGGCGGGTCGGTTCCTTTTAAAAAAAATATATATTTTTCCTGACTTTAACGCTTCCTCTCTCTCTCTCTCTCTCTCTCTCTCTCACACACACACACACAACAGACCACCGCCACCAGGCCTCCATCCGCAACGACCACCACCAGGCCGCGATTAATACAAAATAATTATAAATTAAAAAAATAAAAAGCTATTGTAAAGATTTCAATCAGGCATGAAAGGTAAAGGCACTTTTGTAGAAGCAGTGAAGCTGTAACTAGAGAACGGAACTGTTTAGAAATGCTTGAATCTTCTTACATTAAAGAGTGATCACCCGTTAATCGGGTAGTTGAGAGAACTGGCTAATCATCCATGAATACCATAATCCATGGGAACTTACCATTTGGTGGGTGAAACCTAGCTGACGTGCTGCCATGTGCAGTAAGTGTGATTTTCTCCGGGTAAATTTTGTATGCATGAAAAGTAGGCCAAGAAGGCTTTTCAAGTACGACCCTTTCATGCAGGCTAATTTTGAATTGTTAGGATAATATTTTAATTTTCTGGTTGAGATTTTGAGTTACATTATTTACGGACGACATTGGTTGTTTACATCCAATTCACAGTGTTTCTACCTTTCTGCATCACATGGATTACTTTTGCTGCTTTCCTGCTCATACAACAGGGCAAATAGTTTACCCTTGAGTTTATGTTTACATTTGTGTTGACTACTGGTTTGAATTGTGTAAAATAGTTGTACAAATAGTTTGGAAGGTTGGGAGAGATGGAATTGAGGCAGGAACCAATCTTGTGCCGGTAAGTTATGTTTAGTCTACCCTTTCAAACTTTTATCGATTGTGCAATTTCAATGCAGGGTGTTTTTCTTGCTTTTAATACAAATTGAAGATTTTTGATATTCTGTTTGCGTTTTGTGGTTGGGTGCTAGGATTCTGTGCCAAGATCAATTGCAAGGGTTTCTGTGACAGTAGTTGCATTGGCTCTTTCACTCTTTGTACTCAAGTCTTTACTGTCTACAGTTTTCTTTGTGCTGGTATGTTTCTCTTTCTCTCCTCCTGCAAGAACAGTAGATCGATGATGTTATTTTGACTTCTCTTTTTCCAAAATGTATATGAAGTATGCTTGTGCTACCATTTGTGTGTTTGTGTTTTAAAATCAACTCCTTTTTCTGCATTACTCGTTTCTATAAGGAAATGAGATGCAATGTAGACAAGTAAATTTCCTTTTGTCAGTAAGAGAGCATTATTCTTGTATAGATAGTCCTTATTTTTGAAGTACATAAATATTATGTAATTGTAATGAACGCATTGTATGATAACAGGCTACGATGGGACTTGTATACTTCACATTTATAGCTTTGAATAAGGATGAAGGACCCAAGGGGGGTGGAGGCACCACCTCTACACCAAAGGAGGAGGGGATGGAGGACAGTCTAGAAGAAGCCAGAAGAATCATGGAGAAGTATAAGTAACATCCTCACTGGTAGGGCTCATTCACTCATTTTCATATCATTTGTGGTCACACACAGAGAAGGTGGAACAAAGGATTTTGATGAATAGAAGAAATATATCAGGCAACCAAAGAGGTGATATTGAGAATCCATTATATTCAATAGCAACACAAGTTTTGTCTATTTTAGAGAGGTTGTTGAGAAAAAATGGCCTCCAATAACCACTCCACAGGACTCTCTCTTTCCCTCTATTGTGAGGAAGGCAAAGATGGACTGGTCATACCCACATGTAGCTAGAAGGGGAGAGAAAATGAGGCTCTCTACTAACACTTTGATGAATTAACCCGAAATGTGATGGATTACACTCGGCACAAATTTGATGAGTTTGCTTTGTTTTTTATTAGGAAATCGCATTTTAAAATTTCTAGTAACATCTTCAAATTTTTAGCTAAAATATAACCAAAACTTTGGAGAGAGAGAGAGAGAGAGACCCTGTTTTGTTTTATAAAAAAGTCTGTTGGTTTTTATATTTGTTTTATCAAATATGGAAAATTGGAGATTGTACTTGAACTCGTCTTATTGAAAATGTATTCTATAATTTACTTATAGAACCCAACTTGACTTTGAATGGAGGCTGATAGTTTCCGTCTCAGGTTACACAAAATATTGCTTAGGCAGTGTGAAAGTGCATACTTTGTTGAATACTTAAAGCTGTTCATCAAAGAAACTTATTGAAGTTTAATTATGAACTGATAGCAGCTACTCTTCCATGCTAATGATGCATCGCAATCCTTCCCCCTTCACCATGTAATCAAAGGCTTTGTTGATCTCGGAGAAAGGAACTCGATGAGTTATGAACTTCTCTACCTCCAGTTCCTGTTGGAAAGTGAAAAGGAAAAATGCTTTGTTCATTAATCCATGACAAACGAATTGAACGCCTGATGTAAACGAAAATCTTAGAAGAAAATGATGTTACCTTGTTCATGTACATGTCCACAACAGAGGGAAGGTCTGTCCTAGGTTTGTAGTTCCCAAAAAATGTTCCTTTAAGCGTCCTTTCATTAATCGGCTTAGTCATGAAGACTGCATCCTTGTTCTGAACTCCCACATGAAGACTGCATCCTTGTTCATGTGCATGATCAAAACATATAAGCTCATGACTGCAGATGCAGCTGAGGGTAGAACGTAGATAGACAAGTGTTAAAAGATGAACTAGCACACACAGGTCATCAATGATTGGTACACATCAATTCAACCTAGAGTTTCATGAATTCTGAATTGGAGCCACCAAAGTCTGAAGCCTAACCCAAAACACAATGATTCAAATTTTCATCATGGAACCAACACAACTAGGCCACATTGTATCTACAATATTAGCAATCAAAATGTAGCTGCTGTAATCCAGAAAACATACATCATGAACACATTCAAAAGCCGATATCATGGCATCAATATTGCCTGTGCACTCTAAGCTCCTATCAACTCCACCGTTTGTCATCTCAGCAATAACCTGTTGATTTCAAAGATCAAATTTGAAGGTTGGATATAACTTACCTATCTATGTGGATTGATGTAGCAACATCTGATACGAATAAAGAATTGTTTTTCACCTCTTGCACTGGTTTGTCATGGTCCTTTGGATTCACAAACTCATTTACTCCAAATTTCTTGGCTAAACCAGGAAAAAGAAAAAGTTTTAAGCAAGAATTTGTTTCTACGTTTTTCCATGAAACTACCTGTTAAAACCATGGTAAATGACAATGGACAACATTGTAAATACCTTCCTCAAACCTCTTGGGATTTCGGTCGATCCCAATAATCCGTGATGCCCCAGAAATTCTTGCACCTTCAGCAGCCTAGACAAAAATATATCAGTAAAAATACGGAAAAGGAAATAAATGCAACTATTGGAATTAAGGATTTGATGAACAAAAGTTTCCCAAAACTTACAGCCAGGCCAACAGCCCCAAGTCCAAAGACAGCAACTGAAGATCCCTTCTTCGGTTTTGCTACATTCAGGGTGGTTTGGATACATAAATCATGACCATAATGCTTTGAGTATGACACCAAACCTGTTGAGATGCCACAACTAAGGATGCCAACTTTATCCAAAGGTACCAGGCGATTGATCTTGGCAAGACAGCCTGAAGGTGGATGTGCCAAGAAAGTGATTAATGGGAGTCCCTTTGATAGAAAACCTTGGTTTCCCATCACTAAATTGTCGAGTGTTCGAGAAATCAGCCTAGGAGGAGCTAGGCGGCCACCTAGGCGGCTAGGCGGTGCTAGGAGGCGAGAACGACCACCTAGGCGGCTAGGCGGCGAGAGCGGCCACCTAGGCGGCTAGGCGGCGAGAGCGGCCACCTAGGCGGCTAGGCGGCGAGAGCGGCCACCTAGGCGGCTAGGCGGCGAGAGCGGCCACCTAGGCGGCTAGGCGGCGAGAGCGGCCACCTAGGCGGGATAAAAATTCCTAACGTTAAGGACTATTAGTGTCACAAAAAAACCTCAAGGACCATTCGCGATAATTTCGTAAACGTCAAGGACCATTTGTGATAAAAAGCCTTTAATTTTTATTTTATTTTTACCCTTGACTCTAACGCTGCCCCTCTCTCTCTCTCTCTCTCTCTCTCTCTCACACGACAGACCACCACCACCAGGCCTCCACCTGCGTTTCTTCTTCTTCTTCTTCTTCTTCTTCTTCTGTTTAGTATTTATGATCCCTGAACATTCTTGTTAAGTGGGTTCGTCGAATTTGCTATTTTATGAATCGTGTTTTTATATTTTTGGTTTTTGGATTTTGATAAAAGGTATTTTTGCAACTGAATAGCATTGTATTGGTGAATATCTGTCGAAAGCAAGTTAATTTCTGTTAGATTATGACAATTTTTAACGTTAAATTGTCTGAGTGTTCGAAAAATCCGGCTAGCGGCGGTAGGCGGCCACCTAGGCGGCTAGGCGGCCTGGGCGGGTAATATATATTTTTTCCTGACTTTAACGCTGCCCCTCTCTCTCTCTCTCTCTCTCTCTCTCTCTCTCTCTCTCTCTCTCTCCAACTGCACAAACAATGGGGCCAAGCTCTGCAAATCAATAACAATTTCAGCCATAACTAGGTTTGCCAAGTTTAATTTCACTAGCACAAAGAAAAAAGGAAAAGGACAAAATTGCTAAGTTTTAATGTATTAGAGAACTTTGGTGAGAATTCACCTTGAATTGCAAAATGGTAATGGAGGAGAAAGGTGTTGGGGGAGGCGAGAGATAACATGCTTGATTTTTCGTCCCAAAAAAAAAAACATGCTTGATTTTCATTTTTTTTATAATAATTATTTTCAAATTTGTTAAGTTTTTATAATTATAATATGACTTGACTTAACGAAAATCTTAATGGAGTTATACGTAAATTGCTACATTTTATAAAGTTTAGGTGATTAATAATTAAAATTAAAAGTTCATGTGGTAATCACGTATATGCTTAAAATTTAAGATAGTATTTATGCACATTTTCCTAAAAAAAAAAATTTAACGAAAAAATGTGTTCTAAGATTACATTTGCTTGTGCATCCCAAATACCCTCATTAACAAAGTTGAAGAACAAGGGTCCCAAAATTTCTTGTCATTTTGTCCCTGCTTGTTTCGTTTGCTTTGTTTCTAGATTCAGTGAAGAAAAAAGGTTAAGCACTAAGATTGAAAACCACTCATCCAAACCGTCCATCACAAAAAAGAAGTTGAACTGCTTACTTTAGTGAGTACATATTACTATTATTACTTTTGTACCCCATATTTTTCTATACATGTGTACGATTCATTCTATTATGAAACTAATTGTTTTTAGCTACAGAAATGCTACTTAAAAGGAGTAAAGTTCGAATATAATATAACAACTTCCATAATAAACTTGCCCACCTCTCCTTCCATGACTATAGAAATGTCTCTAGATGTAGACTATTTTTCCATATTTTTGGTTTGGCTATAGCCCTAGTTAGACGGGCATGGCATGGGTTCGTGTTTGGTTTTGACATTTGTGTCACAAGATGAAGTGGCTAATAACACAATGGGTATGAATAACCGTAGTTATTATTAGCTATTAGATGCCGCTAAAGTTTTTATAGATATTTATAAAAATACCCAATCCTAGACATGTATTTATAAAAATACCCAAGCACTATTTAAACATAAAAACATACCCAAAATGGGTTTTGGGTATGTGTGTAATGATGGGTTTTGGGTATGTTTATAAATGGGTTTTGAGTGTGTGTAATGATGAGTTTTGGGTATGTTTATAAAGTGTTTTGGGTGTTGGGTATTTTTATAATTTCAGCCCCCATTTTGGGTATTTTAGTGAAACTCCCAAGTTTTTAAGCACCCCGTCATGACTACAAACGTCAGTGACTATTAATTATGTAAAATTAATCTTCTACAATTACTAAACACCCTAGAGACGGAGTGAGAGATGGGCTTGGACAATGGCAAATGAAAATAACCCTGTATAATTCGAGTTCTTTTACACGTGGACCTAATTTCTTTGCGTAAAGCACCATATATCCAAATGCGAGTGTTTCTGGACGCATGTTTGGTTCAATTTGAACATGATTTGTGGGCTTAGCATATGTTATTTTGGGTAGGGTTTAAAAGTAGTCAAAAGGCATCCAGTTTTTTTTGATACGTCATCCAGTTTTATTTGTGTACCTCAAAGAGTATCAGAGTATAGGGACTAGAAAAAGAAGAGAATTAAATCCACTTCTTTTTCCTCCGTAAAGTTTTATTAAAGATTAAGGAATTGATGTGCTCTCTCTTTCTCTCTCACATCAGTGCATGGCTGGCAATGGCATTAACAAAGTTGAAGGAAAAGGGCCCCAGTTTTCACTTGTCATTTTGTCTTTGCTATTGTGCCTGGCTCTAGCTATTTTCATCATCAAATTAATCCTCTTGATTAATATGAAAATGTTCAGGCATGACATTGACATGTGGAGAAATTTGCTAGTCGTGGCTAATAACTTGCCTGTGTATATCAACATGTTATGCAGGAACTGACTGATTCAATATGAACATGATTTGTATTTTCTAGGGTTAGCAACTTAGCAGCATATATGATTTTGTGCAGGGTCTAAAAGTGGTCAAAACGCATCCCGTTTTGTCGTTTATAAAGTTGTTGCCCCTATTTGTCAATGGCTATGGCCAAAAAGGAAAAAGATAATCATAATGGATATGTAGTTAATGGCTTCCACTGAATCAGATTCTTCCTTTTTTGCCAGATATATCGCACTTCTTTATTCGATTAATTAACTCACCACAAACACCAAATTAAACACACCCTCAAGCTCAGCTCAGAAAACAGAGAGATAAGATGGCAAATCAGAAAACAGAGTGCCCAGAGGAGGTGGTGATGTTGATGCCACCTCAAGATCATCAACCAGCACAAACCAACATCGACAACAACACTGAGGCGCCATTGTTGATGTTCAAACCAAAACCTGGAACTGTAATTCCAGCAAGGAGGAGGTTAGTGAAGGCCATGCGTTTCATCCGAGTTTGCGCTGCTGTTAGTTCTCACACCTCTTCTTCTGAGTCGATGACAAGATGAGCAACCTTACCTTGTTTATGCATTATTAAGTGGATGTAATATTGGAGTAAATGTACTCCTCTGGCTTAAATAAATTCTGTGATCCAGTTACGTTGGTTTTGGAGATTTTAAGTGCAATCCAATCTAATTGAACCCAAAAAGAGAAAAACAATTGAAATTGGTTTTGGAGATTTTGTCTCTGCTTGTTCCGTGTGCTTTGTTTCTAGATTCAGTGAAGAAAAAAGGTTGAGCACCAAGATTGAAAACCACCCATCCAAACCGAACATCACAAAAAAGAAGTTGAACTGCTTAATTTAATGAGTACATATTACTATTATTACTTTGTACAATTCAGAGAGGAGGGGCTTCAAATAATATTCTGTCCTACAATATATATCATCCTTATCTACAATATATAAGCAAGATATATAATTACGACGAAAGCCCCAAACACTTGAAGAAAACAATATTACAGTCTTGAGGCACGGATCCAGGATTGAAAAATGAGTCGGACTAATTTTTCTTATTGAAAATTTTCTCTTCAAATTTCGGCAGAATCTTACTCTATTTTGTGATATTTTTCAAATTGTATATAATTTGTTAAACACTTATGTTATTTACTTTTACGTTTTTAACTACATTATCAACAACATCAACAACATGCTTCCCAAATATGATAGCGCGGCAAGACATGAATTTAAAAAAAAAAGGAATAATAAGAGAGGTATGTTTTTAATGAAAAATTGTGAGGGAAAATTGGAATAAGAAGAGTTTATGATTTTATATATCAGATTCCATATAAATAGATTCCATAATTACAATGATGGATGTGGGTGAGAAGCTACTAATATAAGATTCCTATAAGTAAAATATTACTCCCCTTATTGCCAATTGGTTTTGAAGTGGAATCTCAACTTCCTTCATGGTACCAGAACGGGTTGCCCACGTGAGATCAAACAAATATTATAAATATGTGATGGCCTAATGGAAAAGCGCACTTAGTTGACATCCATTTGAGAGGTTTGAATCTCCTTGGCCTAGATGTAGACTATTTTTCCATATTTTGGTTTGGCTATAGCTCTAGTTAGACGGGCAGAGGTTCGTATTTGGTCTTGACGTTTGTGTTACAAGATGAAGTGGCTAATATCACAATGAGTATGAAAAACCGTAGTTATTATTAGCTATTAGATGCCGCTAGTGTTTTTAAGCACCCCATCGTGACTACGAGTGACTATTAATTATGTAGTGAGAATCATGTAAAATTAATCTTCTACAATTACTAGACACCTTAGAGACGAAGTGAGAGATGGGCTTGGACAATGACAAATGAAAATAACCATATATCCAAATGCGAGTGTTTCTGGATGCATGTTTGGTTCAATTTGAACATAATTTTTGGTTAGGGTTTAAAAGTAGTCAAAAGGCATCCAGTTTTTTTATTTTTTTTATACGTCATCCTGTTTTTTTTTATTCGGTAACATGGGGAGCTAAAAGCCCAACACAACAACCAAAACTAGGAAGCAGTACGACGCCGTCTGGAGAGACCCATAGCATCAGCTTTCAGAATCTCCAAAATAAAATCAGGCACAGTACTATAAAGATGGAGAAGGCCTCTAGTAGACAAGGCATCAGCAGCAAAATTCTGCTCACGGTAGATATGATTCACAGTACA